GTTCCTAAAGTCACTACCACTTAGAATGGGCCTACAGGGTCACACACCAATAGGGATGGACTTATACGTGAAGAATACGAAGAATGGAAACGAGATTTGACCGAAACGAGGATGAAAAGGAGTTTTCAGTGTGTTGGTCCGGAGCTGACCAAGTTGGGTCAGCCCCGGACCAAGTTTGGTCAGTCCGGGAGGTCCGGAAGCTCGGTCCGCGGTCATCTGTCCAGGCCTGGTCCGGCTGACCAAGAGTTGGTCAGCCGCTGACCAGATTTTGGGACAAGCGGACCGAGAAATGACAAGTCGGACTGAGCTGACCAAAAAGGGTCTTGGTCCGGAGCTGACCACACGTGGTCCGCCGGACCAAGCCTTCAGGTCTCCGCGGTCATCTGTCCAGACCTGGTCCGGCTGACCAGAGAAATGACAAGTCGGACCGGGATCCGGAATGTTTCCAAATATTCGTTTTTAGGGTTTTCTAATCTTATTTAAGTTTGGGATTTCGTCCAAACTTAAAGAGAGAGCCGACCTAAAACTCAGAGAAACATCCTAGAACCCTAGAGAAGCTGTTCTCTTCGATTTCTATTGTCCCGGGATTGGATCTCGTCTCTTGAGTTACCCTTTTCTTCACTAATCCTAGCAGATTCGTTACAAATCGTTTGGAATCCTTACGTCGGTGTGGATACGTGTAGAGGAGTTGTACTTTCAGCTCTTGGTGATTTAGAACAGGCCCCGGATCGAAATAAACTTCAAGTCTCATCGAGAACGAGGTAAGTAACGATTCCCTCGGTGATATACACGATCTTTCGGGTTTTGAGAGTTTGGTTGCGTGTGACGTTTGACTAAGTTTAGATCTTTCTTCCGCTGCATGAAACCTAGTAAACCAAACCCTAGATCGATATGATCGCATGCTAGGAACCCGTAGATAACCCCAACATGCGTCCCATCCATGGGCCATCCGATCCGGGTCGGATGTCACCCATATGGGATATGATTGTGAATGTAGCAATGATATAATCGCGCCAACGTCCGAACGATAGGACGATTATGGGCACACCGATGACTCGCGTAGATAGCCGATTGTAGTCGGTACTATTGCGTGACGAGGAACACACGGTTCTTGGAACCGTTAGCGACGGAGCGAACCCCGGGATATGAGTATCCCGAGGATGAGGGCATCACACATACCTGAGATTCGGGTAGATTGGGGTCTCCCGAGGAGGTGGTACGGACTTACTCTGCTAGGTTCGGGCTCGAACCTGACAAGTATTTCCGCGGCGGATGGTCGGCGAGGGAGAGTTGCAGCATGGGCTCTCTCGTTATAGTCGATGGCGTCGGTTGTAGCCGGCGTCTGATGAGCTCCGGTATTGAGAGGTGACATCAATGACGGAGTTGGGTGACACGTCTAGTATCGAGAGGTGACATCGATGCTAGGGTGGGGTGATGTGTTCGAGAGGAAAAAAATATATTTATGCCGGATCCGAGTGGTGGCGGAGTAGATGGATTCCGAGGAGAGAGGTGGTTGTGCTATGCACATGGGGAGTACATTACCTACGCATGGTGCGCATAGAGACAATTTGATGGACTTTGTCCTGCGACTTGTCGTACAGACTTGATTGTGATTGTTGCATGCTTATCGTGATTCTCTGTTTTCGATTCCTGTTTATTAGAGTATTAGTATATCTATATGTATTTGTTTTCCCTGGTCTCATGAGAATGGAACTTCGGGTTACGCCCGAGTTCACTCTCTAAGCAATTAGCTTAGGACGTTGTTATGCAATGTTTCAGGTCGTGAGCAGCAGTAGCCGAGGAGCAGACATCAGAGACTTGGGCAGTGTACTACTACCGATCATGTATAATTACGTATTTTGATACATTTATATTTTGGAAACGGTTTGCCTTATATCGGTGGTAGACTTTTGAAGTTTGTAATAATGTTATACTGCCACTTGATTATGTATAATTATAATTGGAAATAATGTATCATATATGTATATACGAGTGTTTTCTTCCGCTAACTCTGAAAATAAAAGTTTTAAATTCCCGCGGATATTTGGAAATAGAGTTTTTCTTATTTTAACTTGTTCATGTGACGCAACTCGTATTGCGGGATACGGGTTTCGGGCGTTACAACGTTGGTATCAGAGCAGTTCCTTCCACGGGGAAAGAATATGCTCGCATTTTCACTAGAATTTGGGGATGGGTAAAGATTGATTTTAAAAGATTTTACAAAAATCTAAGCATGATCACCAGGTCCCGATACTAAATAAAAGTTTCTTGTTCGCAGTAGCTATACCTCCACGACGTGTTGCACCTGCGCAACGACCTCAAGGACCGAGGGCACCTCCGCCGAATAACGACATGGCGGAAATGCAACGCCAATTCGAATTGTTCCAAGGGAACGTCTGACAGTTCATACGAGGTTGCATGCCACCACCACCGCCACCGCCTGCTGCTCCACATGCGGCAAGGCCGGAGGGAGGTTTTCCACCACCACCACCGATGCCTGCACCTCCGAGGATTCCACAGGAAGTTGTGGTGGACTACTATCCATTCGTCAAGGAACTCCGAGCCTTGGGCACTCCGGAGTTTGAGGGTTCTCTTAGCCCCAAGGCAGCAGAAGACTGGATCATCAAGATCACCCACCACTTCAACTACATCAGGTGCCCGCTGGAGTACTGCACTGAGTTAGTGAGTCGTCATCTGGCTGGCGCGGCTCGCCATTGGTGGGAGGAAGTTGTACGTGAGGCTCCCGCAGGACACCAATTATCGTGGGAAGAGTTCCGGACGGAGTTCGAGCAGAAGTACTACCGGAGGCAAGATCAGGGTCACCGTATTACGGAATTCCTTCGCCTTGAACAGGGTAATATGACTGTTCGAGAGTACGAAGCGGAATTCAACCGACTGTTGAAGTATGGAGGCCACCTAGTGCACACCGAGGAGTACAAGATCCAGAAATTCATTGCTGGGTTACGTGCTTCTCTCAGGAGGATAATCGAGTGCCATGAGTACCATATGTTGAGTCGGTACATCAACCAACTCGAGAAAGTGGAACGAATCGAGAAGGAGAAGATGGATGCCAAGATACAAGACTGTGGTCCATACAGGAGAGAGCCAGTCAACCGTCCCCCAGTGAGGATTGGGCAGACGAGTCAACCCCGCGACAAGGGGAAGGCTCTAGCGTTTCGCACCACGAGCCCGACCCAACCAGTACAGTATAGGAGGCCCTGTGCTAAGTGTGGTTGAGACCATACTGGAACTTGTGGAAACACCATGTCGTGCTACCGCTGCGGTCAACCAGGGCATTTTGCTGCGAGATGCACTGCAAACATAGCTCCTCAAACCAACAACAAGCCACCATGTCCAGCATAGAAGAGATCGGGTGTTGCTTCGAGAGTTTATGCTCTCATAACGGAGGAGGATGTCCAGGAGGAGCCATACACTGTAGAGGAGCCATTTGATGTAGAGCCATTGACCACCTACGACTGATGAAGAGTATCTGGAGGAGGCTGATGTTGCCGCTATCACAGGTATCATTTGCATACACGATGTTGCATGCGTCACTTTGTTTGACACAGGAGCTACACATAGCTTCTTGAGTGAGAAAAAGGCAGGAGAGTTGTCAATCACGGAGATCGATACGACTACACCTTTTATGGTGTGTACACCTGTGAGACAGACTCTTCCAGTACAGAGGATTTTGCATTGCATGCCCTTGACTATCTGTGGGATGATGTTGAATGCAGATCTTATCGTCGTACCTATCCGGGATTACGACTTAATACTGGGAATGGATTGGTTGTCGAAGCATCAAGCCCAGATTGACTGTCGTCAGCGAACTATTTGGTTCACTGAGGAGAGTGGAGGATTCGAGTTCGTTGGGAACAGATCACGGAAGGTGTATCCCATTATATTAGCTCTGAAGGCTAACAAGATGATCGAGAAAGGAAATGAAGCCTTCATGGTTGTAATCACAACAACGAAGAAGCAGAGGCAAGGCTGGAAGATACTGCTGTGGTTCGGAAATTTCCCGATGTGTTTCCTGATGAACTACCCGGACTACCACCAGAACGGGAGGTAGACTTCTCCATTGAGGTTGTGTCAGGAACGGTATCTAAAACTCCCTATCGGATGGCTCCGACAGAGATCGCAGAACTGAAGAAGCAGTTGAACGAATTAATGGAGACAGAATTCATCCGACCAAGTGTATCCCCATGGGGAGCACCAGTGTTATTTGTGAAGAAGAAGGATGGTAGTATGCGATTCTGCATCGACTACCGAGGCCTGAACCAAGTGACCATCAAGAACTGGTATCCCTTGCCGAGGATTGATGAGTTGCTTGACCAATTGCAAGGGGCGAAGTAGTTTTCTAAGATCGACTTACGTTCTGGGTATTATCAGATCTGTGTAAAGGCTGAGGATATTCAGAAGACTGCCTTTCGAACGAGGTACGGTCACTTCGAATTCGTGGTCATGCCCTTTGGGTTGACGAATGCCCCAGCCGTCTTCATGCAGTTAATGCACCGGGTGTTCATGGATTATCTCGATGAGTTCGTCATAATCTTCATTGATGATCTCTTGATATATTCACCGGACCAGCAGATGCATGAAGAACACTTGCGAAAAATCTTATGGCGATTGAGAGATAATCACCTATACGCTAAATTCAGCAAGTGTGGGTTTTGGTTGCAAGAAATCGGATTCCTTGGTCACGTCGTTTTTGTGCAAGGCATCCAGGTTGATCCGGCAAAGATCGAGGCAGTAATAGATTGGAAGACGCCCACCGATGCGACCGAAATTCGAAGTTTCTTGGGTTTACCAGGCTATTACCGACGTTTCGTAGAAGGATTCGCTAAACTGGCAAAGCCAATGACGAAGTTGACGGGAAAGAATGTACGCTTCGAATGGACAGAGGATTGTGAGAAGAGTTTCATGGAACTAAAGAAGAGGTTGACCACTGCACCCATTTTGGCGTTATCTTGCCCAGGTGTTCCGTATGACGTGTACACGGATGCATCGAGGCAAGGATTGGGCTGTGTTTTAATGCAAGAAGGACATGTGATAGCGTATGCATCCAGACAGTTGAAAAGACACGAGGAGAACTATCCGACTCATGATCTGGAACTAGTCGCGATAATCCACGCTCTGAAAATTTGGAGATCTTATCTTTATGGTGAGAAGGTTAAACTCAACACCGATCACAAGAGTTTAACCCATGTCATCTCGCAAAAAGATCTGAACCTCCGACAAAGACGTTGGCTAGAACTGAT